CACCTTAAACGCCATTTAGATAAACACAACAAAGGCCAGAATCCTCAAGGTGATATCCGACAATCTATGATTTCTCAATCCTCCTCTTCTGGTAGTCTCGGTAGTTGGAACTATGACGCTGCCAGAGCCAGGAAATGCGTAATCAGGTTTATCATTCTTAAAAACCTTCCTTTTAAATTAGTAGAAGATGATGAATTTGAAGATATGTTTAGAGATGGTTTTTATCCTGCATTTAAAAAAATTTCTCGTCAAACCTGTCAACGTGATATTTTAAAATATTATCAGGAGGAACAAGGAAAAATAATTTCTTATTTTAAAAATTTAAACTGTAAATTTTCTTTAACTTCTGATATTTGGACATCTAGAGCACAAACTGGATATTTATGTATCACAGCACACTGGATTGATGAAAATTGGGAAATGTTTAAAAGAGTTATGTATCACAGCACACTGGATTGATGAAAATTGGGAAATGTTTAAAAGAGTTGTTTCTTTTATTGCAATTGAAGAGTCACATGCTGGTGCTAATGTTGCAAATTTAATAATTGAAGAACTTATGAAATTAGAAATATTAGAAAGAATATTTTCTCTTTCACTAGATAATGCAAGTAATAACAATATAGCTGTTGATTTTATCAGATCACCTTTATCATTGCCATGTCATGGTGATCTTTTTCATATTAGGTGCATCTGTCATATTTTAAATTTAATTGTTCAAAGTGCATTTACTGAAATTAAACCCATGATAGAAAATGTTAGAACAGTTGCTTATATGCATAGTACTTCTGAACAAAGACTTAAAAGATAGAAACAATTTTATAAAAGAAAAAAATATAAAGCCTAGACTAATTCCAAAAGATGTTGACCATAGGTGGAATTCCACATATGCAATGTTAAGTGTAGCAATAGAATATAAAGACATTATAACTGATTTTATAAACTATTATGCTTCTAGTTCTAGTTCTGGTAGCACTTATGGACTAACTGAAGATGAATGGACAGTTATATGTAATTTAAATGAAATGTTACAAGTTTTTTATGATGCTACAATGTTATTATCTGGCTGTTATTATCCAACCATTACTTTAGTTGCTTTACAAATTTTAAATATTCAAATTTTTTTTGGTAAAATATCGTATGGATAATACTTTTGGACCTATGATTTTTGAAATGGAGAGCAAATTTAATAAGTACTTTAGGCCTATTCCTCATATTTTTGGTTTGGGGGTTCTTATTGATCCATGCTTGAAGGATATTGACCTTCGAAGTTTGTTACAATCTTTGTATGGTATTCAGGTTATAGACTTAGATGATGGAACCACCATTACTGCTACTACTCATCATTTAGCTATTAGAAGTTATTTTCAAACCTTATATGATGAGTATGAAGCTAGACATGGTGTAACTACACAACAGTCTACAGCTTCAGTTTCTTTGAGCTCATCCCGAGCCCGAGGTAAAAGTGTAAGTTTTGATAGGTATGCAATGGTAGCTGAGCTAACTGGTAGATCTGGACTTGGATCGTCATCATCGGAGGTTTCTGAAATAGATGAATATTTTTCTGCTTCTTTAGTTAGATGTCAAGGAAATGCTTTAGATATTTTGCAATGGTGGAAAGTATATGGATCAGTTTCATATCCTATACTTTCCACCATGGTTCGTGACTTACTAACAGTGCAGGTTTCGACGGTAGCTTCGGAATCCGCCTTCAGCACAGCAGGTCGTTTGATTGACGATCATAGGACATGTTTGGATCCGTATACTGTACAAGCAGTGATGTGCTTACAAGATTGGTGGAGGTACGAGAAGCGAACGCAAGGCATCGATCGGATGGCTGAAATTGAAGATAAATTTGAAGAATTGAGACTAGCAGATAGATATAAAGAATAGATTGTAGTTTTTATATCTTAGCTTAAAATTTGTAAAGAATTATTTTAGAAATAATTGCAAATAATAGTGATATAGGTGAGTAGGTGCCAACCTAGTTGGGATTTACTTATCTATTGTGATGCGATTAATTCCAAAATAAATTTGTACTTATAATTTGTAAATGATTTATTAATTATTAATAAAGAATTTGTTTTTATCATTTTTTATTTGTAATTTATGTCATTTTAAGTAATTAATAAAATTATTATTTTTATTATTTTTCTTGTCTTTTTTTTTATAATTTAAAATTTAAATAAAATTGAAAAATTTTGGAAAAAATAAAAAAAATGAAAAACACCTGGGCCAGCCCGGAACCCGGCCCGGTCGGGCCCGGCCCCGGGCTCGGACCCGGCCTGGGGTACCCGGGTCCGGGTCCGGGCCCCGGTTTTGCCCGGCCCGGGCCCGGATTTTCGGGCCGGCCCGGATGGACAGACCTATATATATAATATATAACTCATCCGGAATATCCACATCTGTTAAGTGGATTTTGCTATTGTGAGATAAAAATATTAGAGACTTGTATTCAAACTTTTTGGCTCTATAAAAGACATAAGAATTTAGAGTAAATAGCTTATATATCGTAAAGAACATATTGGTTCATGAAGAATTTTACCTAATAACGATATTATTACAACGATATTACTATTCAGTATTAAATCATTTGTATTATATAATATTATATGACTCTTTTTAATAAATTATAAATTATATATATGAAAACCTCGATACTTATGGTAGTAGTTGGGTACCACAAAATATGTTAACTTTACATTGTAGTTTTCTATTGGTAGTACTATTTGCAATGCCATTATCTTTTATCTTTATCTTATTATTCACGTTTTTCTAATATAAGACCTCTTTTGCTAATCACTCAATTGACTATATTTAATTTTTATAATATCAGAGGTTAGAATATTCTCTTCTATTTAAAAAGTATTGATATGATTTTCTTAAAAAAATATATTCATATAGTAGAAAAAAATATATATTTCAGTTCAACTCAAACATTAGCTTGAAACCATTTAGAGTGAGGTCTTTTCTACGCTAGAATGATGATATAATGAGTACATAACCCAAAAGTTAAAGAAGAGATTTCTACAAAGGAAAAGTAATTTAATATGTCAAATTAACAACTAATTTATAAAATATACATGGGTAATGTAGATATCTATTGAGAGTAATGTATACATCTTCATAAAAATTCCATAGTGAGTGACCAACTACAATCATCATAATTTAAGCATGAATAATTATTATTTTAGTTACTAATTTGGTATGCGTAACTGTGAAATAAATCTTAAGCAAAAGATAGGAATTGAGATTGTATTATCTTGTATGTAAATAAATAAATATTATTAGACCTCCTCTTTATATTAAATTTAAAAATAATAATTTAAATTATTAGGCGCTAAATATTAGTTCATGCGAGAAAGTAAAGTAATCTATGGTCTATATACTTATATAGTCAATCAATCAAATGTATTGAAATTATGATGACCACAGTTAAAATTATATGGTGAGTTCATATTAAATATAATTTATAAAAAATAGTACATTAAAGTCAAAATTATTTTAACTACTATATAGATTATCTAAAAAAATTTGCATATATAAACTACACTGTCTAGGAATAGTGACATGTGGCCTAATACATCTTGAGAACAACTTACTTTTCGATATCATCGTTAATTGATGTATCTATGCATTACATTGAAAATACAATGAAAATTTAGAAAACTATAAAAAACACCCTCAAAAGTTTTAAAAATTGTAAAAAAAAACCTAAAATTTTATAATTTATAAATTCACAAAACTATTAAACATTACATTAAAATCAAGGAATTACAAAAAATTATTGAAAATTTTTAATCTTTGGAGGGGTAATTTGTAATGTACTAAACTCTAAGAGTGTTTTTTGGTAAATTTTAAATTTAATAGATTTTAAATTAGTTATGTTCTTTCCAAAAACGTTATGGGTAATATTGACCATGGAATTTTTTTTCCTAAACCTATACTTTTAAAGGGAGCATGATATTTACAAATTTTTAATTTTCTAAGGGTTATTAGTAATTTTGTATATTCATTTTAGTGTCTATAGGTTAGAAATTCTCATTGTATTTTTTTTATAAATTATGAATTTTAGGGTTTTTTTGTAACTTTCTAAACTTATATGCCTTTTATACAGATTGTAAATTGTTTATAATTTATTTATAATTCATATATTTTTAATTTACTAATGAGTTTGAAATTCTCAATGTGTTCTTTGTAATATTTGAATTTTGTTTTTTTGTTTGTATATTTTGAAACTTTAAGGGTGTTTTTTATAAATTATAAATTATGTAGGGGATATTTATAATTCCTATATTTTTAATGTAATGTTAGGTTAGAAATTATTAGGCTTTTTATAAATTTTACAATTTTGAGGGTTTGATTTTATAATTTGTAAAAAGTTTAGAGCGTTTATTATAAATTTTATAAATTTTTTGGGGGTTATTTGTGTTATTTGTAGGTTTATAGTGTGTTTATAGGTTTAAAAATTTTAAGGTGTTTTTTACAAATTTTGAATTTTAGTGGTGTTTTTGTAATTTTTAAAACTTACGAGAGACTTTCTCCAAAGTTAAAAAGCTTTCAGTTTCTAGCTAGCATATATTTTTCAGATATCTCAATGAATTAAAATAAGTAAAATTTATAATTTTTAAGATGTTTTAATAAAATTTTGAATTTGTAGGGGTGTTGTTGCAATTTAAAAACTTGGAGGATTTTTCATACAAAGTCCCAAAACTTTTAGATGCTGACTAGCGCATATTTTTTATATTTTCTGCAAACTAAAATAAGTAAATAATTTTATGCAAACTAAAATAAGTAAATAATTTTCTGATATGTGAAACTTTATGGTACATTTGTCAATATAAGAAAGATGGGGATACATATGTAAAAAGATTAGCATCCCTGCTCTCTCACTCTCTTCTTCACTTCGCGCGCTCTGTCTGCTCTATACCATCATCCCAAAAAATTCCCCAAATGCTCTCTCCTTCGATAAAAGAAGCTAGGGTTTCCAAATTTAGCAACAAATGGGATGCTCGAGCTCTAAAGAGGAGGACCTCCCCTTGGTCTCCCTCTGCCGCCACCGCCGCGACGACCGCGTCGGCGGCGCCCTACACCGTTTCGTAACGGAGGATCTAACGGCCGTCCCCTCGCCGCCGTCATCTCCAGTGCTCACGCTTCCTCCTTCTGAGGGCAAGAGCAAGTCCAAATCTGATGACGGTTCTAGCGGTAACGGTAACGGCATTGGGGATTCCCGTCATCTTTCTTCAATTTCGTCGTCTGTTTCTTTGTCTTCGTCTTCTTCGGTTTCGGATTTTTCTCATTCACATTTGCCGGAGGAGAATGCGGATGCGGATTCGCACTTGCATGTCGCTTCTAGATTCGGATCCGAACTTGGATCCAGGAGAGAAACAGCGCAGGAGGGGGTTTCAGCTTATCCTCCTCCTCCGCAGTTTCCTTCTTCGTTCTTAAACCCTACCTTTTATCAGGATCTGGTCACCGGTCGGTTTGATTACCGCCAGCCCTATTTGGACGGAGGACAGTATCCAACCTTTGTAAACCCTAATTATTACCCGAATCCGGTCACCGGAGGTCAATTTTCAAACCCTAGTTTTTACTACATGAAGAAATCGGCGACAACTCCTTCAACATTTTACGTTGATCCGAATAATATGGAAAGATCTGAGTATTCGAATTATTCTAGTTACTATTACAATGTTCGGGGCCCAACATTTGGAGACGAAAGAGGCAATGTGGCTGATTCCAGCGCTGGTCGGCAAGCGCCGGAGGCAGCAGTGCCGCCGCCGCCGCCGGAACCAGAGGGATCTGGTTGGGATTTTTTCAATGTTTTTGACAGTTACGAGCAGTACTTGATGAAAGTTAAGGGGACTTTGCGATTGGGGCCCGGATCTGTGAGCAGTCCAGATTCGAGTGAGATTAGGGAAAAAGAAGGGATTCCTGATTTGGAAGAGGAGACCGAGCCGGAGTCATTTAGGGAAGTTGAGAAGAAAAAGGAAGTGGTGGGTTCAAGCATTGGTACCTCAAAGGCGCCACCTTTGGAGGAATTGGTCAAAGAAAAGACTGAAAATATAATGAATGAGCGAGTCAGGGAAGAAAAAGCACCCAGTGTGAAGGAGGAAATTTTTGTGAGAAAGAAAGGTGTGAGTTTTGAGGTGGAAGGCTCGATAAAGACTGAGGAAAGCAGTCCCGGTAGTTCGTTACGTAGTTCTCTTGTCACTGAGGAAAGCAGGTCAACTGATGGAATCGAGCTGCATGTTCATGGAACAAAGGATGTAGTGGAGGCTGTGGAGGAGATAAAGGAGCAGTTCAAGTCAGCATCTGGATGTGGAGAAGAGGTAGCGAGGTTGCTTGAGGTGGGAAAGCTACGATATAGATCGAGGAGGACGCTATTGAGAGGTAACAACTGCATACTTGGACGTGATTCAGTCCCAAAATTTCATTCTTTGATTTTTGAGGAATTAGCTTTTCTTTTGCACGGTGCAATAAAAATTTTAAATCCTGTTAATGTCTTCTCATGAATAATTTGCAATTTTACTGAATAGCTTATCGTGCCATTGTTTTTCACTTTAGCATATTAGTATTATTCTACTCTGCTGTTAGAACTTGTTTGGAAGAGTTAAAGTGGTTGAACGTGTGCTTTTAGTCAAGGATTGTGCTGTTAATTTGCGCGCATGCCAAACAAACACATGTATATGTATTACGTATAAGTTCTTTTTTTATTTCGTCTTAGCTTCTTGTTCTTTCTGCATTTGTGAGGGGAAAATATGCTTATGGGGGGAAAAAAACTTCTGATCCTGCTGATTTTAGCTTCTTTTGAGTGAAAGTATCTTTATCTATAATTTATGTCATATAACTATAACTATTTAAGTGAAAGGAAGAGAGTAGGGGCAATGGCCACACATATATACTAGTCGTATCTTTCTACTTATTTAGTTTATGTAGACTCTGGTATCTTTTATTTCATTTGGGACCGCCATTTACCATATATCACATCATACCATTGGAATGACATGCCCTTTCATCTTCAATACCATTTTCTGGTCAGAACTGAATCCAATTCTTGTGTGATAAATACACAGCTAGATTGATTTCCCATAACTTACCTTATGATTAGTGTACTAGGGTCTTTTTATCCTGTTAATCCAGACATTTTTTGTGTTTTTTTCTAGCTGATGTATGCCTATATATAAAATAATTGAATGAATACTTTTCAGAAGTTCCATGCATGTGTAGTGTTCATATAACTTTAAATTGCAGAAAACATTTGTGTTTCTGCTCATTTCTTTTTGCTATCCTATCTTATTTCATGGTTTTTACCATAATATCGGGAATATCATGTCTATTCAGTTATTAGCTGCAAGGAAATTTAGGTTTCATGTAAGTTATGTTCTTCTTTGAGAACAAGGATGGGGTTTTGAAATAAAACCCGAGACAAAAGTTATGTTTTCCTTTCACAAAAATTTTATTATTGAGTCTAGCATAAATCTTTTGTTCGTTTGATAGAAAAGATGGATGACTCACTGTATCCTGAATGGTGGCCGAAAAAAGGATATCTCATTTTGTTGGTTGGAAGAGGCATGGATTTATAACCTCTCTGTCAGAAGAGAAAATGGTCAATTGTTCATATTCTCCACAAGTTCTTCTCAAGCTTACTTAGTTGATAATTAACTTGGTCCCAATTATCTAAGCTATCTGACACCTTGATTAAGGCTAATGTATAAAGATGCACCATAGTTCCGTTCTTTGTTGTCCTGTATTGGATGAGGCATATCCTTCAAATTTTTCTCCTATATCCTCTGTATGATACATGAATCTAGATCAACTGGAATAGCATTATCCAATTTCTCATGTTTTCCTAAGAACTAACTGCGCAACGGTCCTCAAATGGTTAACGGGTGAAGTTAATTATGCCTATCCATACTAGTTTAGATTGGTTTCTAAAAAGGAGATGGTGTATCTTTTGATTTCTCCTAATGTAGCATTTTTCAATTTCATCAAGAAACATAGAGAAACATTCATTGTATGATTGATGGATAGACCTCTAATAACTCGTGGTGCAGTGATCTTTTCCAGGATTTTGGATTCCTTGAGTCTATTTACATTGACATCTTTGAGCCAATCATCAACTGGTGTTCGACATCCAAATCTGAATGTGCCAAAGGAGCATGATGTAATGGGTTCTGATTACATCAATCGGAAGTCTGATAATCTTGCAGCAACGTTGGAAAAGTTGTACACATGGGAGAAGAAACTGTATAAAGAAGTCAAGGTATTTCTTTTGCACTAGCAATAAATTTAACTAGTCAAATGTTATTTTCTAGATTCATTCACTAGGGAATTGTCTTCATACTTTTATATTCATGTTAATTTCTGTTATCTGATCCTGAAATTCTTTCAACTTATTATTTGAATAATATTCATGTCTTTTTTTAGTCCTGCAATATGTCAGTCCAGTTTGTAGTTGTCTTGAACAATTTTTTATTTTGATCTTAAGACATTTTGAGGGGTTCATGGCATGCGTACATGACTTCAACCAATCACTGTTACTTGATTTACTATTTGAACAAGTTTAGAGTTCAGTCTATCAGGGTTATAGATGTAGTGTCGCGAAAGGTTAGGTCAGATCTTATTTTCTATATTCATTATTGAGATTGTTTTGACGTGGCAATATGATAGTATTTTTGGTGAAATCTCTACTGAGAGGGATTTTTAATGATTACCTATCTCCATGTTTCCTCTCGTTGACATGTATAAACCCACAAACTAAAGGATTTCAACTGTGAACTCTTTCACAATCTGTTTCTTACCAGCTTTCCTTTTATCCTGTAATAGGTAACTGCTATAATCACAGAATGATGCTTCACACAACCTTTAAGTAGATGTTTAAATCAGTCCTCATGGCCAAAGACCCCTTAAGAAGCGTAATTTCCTCATTAACTTCTGTAGTTGCAGAGGTTTGTTTGTCCCCATTTCACGTGGATGATAATCTGGATGGTGATTCCCTAAATGAGGTTCATGTATATTGTTTTCACGAGGGATTTACCCTCGCCACACCAGGTGAGCAGCAATATGATGATGAGGTTCATGTATATTGTTTTCACGAGGGATTTACCCTCGCCACACCAGGTGAGCAGCAATATGATGACTGGGAATAAAAATCCTTTAATATTAATTCCTCTTGCTGGCAGTATCTACATTATCTTTATTCCCGATGACTGGGAATAAAAATCCTTTAATATTAATTCCTCTTGCTGGCAGTATCTACATTATCTTTATTCCCCCCTTCCCCAACAATAGAAAACTACAATGTTTCTTTTTCCTCTACATGCAGGATAAATTGGAGACAAAATTCATCTGGTTTGGTTTTTTAAAAAAGGAAAAAAATCATGAAAGTTCAGGAAAAAAGACTGTAGAAATCACAAAACAAGCCCCAAAAGACGGCAGGAAATACAAAAAACCCCGAAAAGACAAAAAATTTCCCTCCCCCCCTCCCTCCTTCCCTCTCGTTTAGGACGTTCTGCGATGGAAGTGGCTAGAATGTGGTCATGCAAGCTCCCCAAAAGACAGAAAATCTCCCACACAGAAAATCTCCCTCACTCCCTCTCATTTAGGACCCTTCTGTGATATAACTGGCTATGAGAAGATTCGGGAGTCTGCATGACCACATTTTTCTCATCTTATTCTCCTAAGCCGATTCCAACTGTGCACTGGCAGTTCTCCTGAAAGTTGATCTTTTTCAGCAGCTATTACTTATTTGAGTCCTTCAAGTACCATGCCAGGTTTTGGAGATCAAGCAGACTAAGAGTGCATCTTTTCTACGTTGATTTTAATGAGGATATGAAATGAAGCCCACCTTCACTAGGGAATGCTTAGTCAGAATGCAGGGGCTTTACTGTGAGTTTCCATTGAAGTTATCTGGGGAGGAAAAATATGCACTTTCCTTCAGTTTTCATGACAATTATTGGATAATATACAAGGAGATTTAACTCTCCACGAGGCATTTGTTTTGTGGGTTCCCTTTTCTAATCAGGGCAGCTGTATGTACTTTGACTCTTTTCCTTCTGTCCTCATTTAGCTAACTAAAGAAAAGGGAAATGCGACTTTGTTTTCAGTCCAATATACAAAGCTGATTGAGATTTCACAAATAGAGCAACAATAAATCAACTAAAATCATTATTTTAGATTAGTCGGCTTATATTTGTGCACTGGTCCATCATTACTCTATTTAGTAACAGGTAACGGATTAGTTTAGCAACCCCCTTGCCAATTGGGTCAAAAGACTTGAGCCTGTTCTCACCATATGGCTTGAAATGCAGTTCCATCACAAATCAGTTAATTTGTGGTCGTCTTTCTTGCATTTGTTGATAATTGATGTTCTGTCATCTCCAGCTGTAACATATAACAGATAAATTTCCCACACACAATCTGTTGTTGTGCGAACTTAGTAACGTAAGCAACTAGCGGAATGGACAAAAATTTTGTGCCAGTATTTCTCTCTTTGTAGAAATTGGAACAGTTGGATTCAGAATATATACGTTAGTTCTTAGTTATATCAGTATGCTGCAAGTTGCACTCTTACTCGTTGGAGGATTTTTCCAATTTTTTGGAGAATTACAATATTGAGTTAGCACTGAGGGCATGATTATATTTTACAATATAGACAAATCTTAACGATACAATTTCATACCCTCCTTAACTGCAAGCTTCGAGCAATATATCAAATTAAATAGAGCAGGTAGATCGCTTGGCACTCTGAATATTTTTTTTTCATTTAAAAGTTTGAGGTAATTTTTGTTAAAATTGCTTAGGTGGTTGTGCTAGGATGAAGAAAAACTACGAGTCCTCTATGAAAAGGAGTGCAGGAGGTTGAAAGCCATGGATGATGGTGGAGCAGAATCTTCAAAGATTGACTCTACCCGCTCCGTAATAAGAACACTGCTCACAAATCTAAGCATTGCTATCAAATCTGTGGATGGCATTTCATTCCAGATACACAAGCTCAGAGATGAAGAGCTGCGCCCCCAAGTAATCAAATTAATTCAAGGGTATTACAGCTAAACCTCATGTATTACTGTCAGTATGTTAATTTTTGCTTTCAGGTTATTGAACTACCGATCCATCAGCCCTATATGTGCTTATTATTATGAATATGGAACATATGTGATGTGACATATTGCACCAACATGTCGGTCTTTCTGCACTCTGAGAGGGAAGGGCATGATTAAACAATTTGATATCACTGTATTAGCATTGTCATCAGAATACCAATCTGTAGTGCCTTTTCCATTACCAAGTTTAGCATATCATTAGCAAGATATTGGGGAATTCAAGGGTGCTGTGGAATTTTTCATCTTTTACTATCTTTTCAAGTGTGTCAGCTGAAGCTAATACTGTCCGGTCAAGCGATCTACGAATTATGGTCCTCATACCTTCGATACCATGTACACGGATGACAGACAAGATGCTTTAGTGAAATCTATGCATATAATGACTTCCATTATGTTTAAGTACTTTCCTTATAGTTTTTTGTGTCCTATACGTTGAAGCCTCCATTATGCCTGTGTACGTTGTTTATAATTCTATTTTTACGATATGTGCAAAATAAAAACATGCATTTTGGTTAAGATAAGGTCGTTGGTCATTTTAAGTGGCAACATAATTCCCTATAACTTTATTTTCCTGAGCCCATTATATTCAGGGGTTACATGATCTGCAAAATAACATACAATGAGACATGTCCAGTATGTATGCTATAAGAATATATATGGTACTGGTTTCATGATAAAACTGTCTCTGCTTCATGGTTACCAAGGGATGACCTTTGATGACTTCTTTTCCAAGATTTAATATTGATGCGTCAAGAGGTTGTGCAGAATACCATGAAGATGGTAGACGTGAAACATGCATTGTGTTTAACTCCCACTATAGTCTAAGAGAGGTGGAAGGAGGACAGGAAGACATGCGGGTAGGATATGATTAAAAAAAAATTTCCTCTGGAGGTGAAGACTTTCTTTGATGTTATGGTCATGTGGAATGAAGATGATAAGACGATACATGCATGTTTGAAAATAGTAAGACATAATGTAACAGGATTTTTATTTTTTTTCTTTGTGTATATAGGACAGTGGTACCTTTAATACTTGATAGCATTGGTAGAATTCATTTACATTCTATACAGGTTAAAAGGTAGATAAAGATATAGACTTGAGGTAGAGTGGGAAAGGCATTTGCTTGGCAATGTAGGTGACAAGGTATAAGACATGCCTGTAGGCTGTAGCCGACATAATGGGCAGAATTTTCTTCTCTGTTTGGGGGAGAGGATGGGTGTGATCTTTCTGAGTCATTCAATATAGTAAATGAATTTGGGTGAATCATGTCTCTAGGCCTTATGTTTCTGAATTATTCAGAAAAAAAAATCCAAACTCTGTGTAGCTAGACTATTGCATAGCCAATTCATATTATTATTTTTTTAATGCAGCAACTGCTTGTTCACTAGTTTCCAAATCTTAACGATCTTAATGTAAAATATTTTACCTGCATGCCTTTCCTTAAATAAAATAAAAATAGAGAAAACACCTGCAAATGTAATTTACAGCTTGCATCAGGGAATCTAGGTTTTCCTGTCTTATGCCTAGTTATACTGTCAACATTCATTCAACACATATGGTGATGTTTCATGTTCTAAATACATTGAAATGGATTCATGTGCCAGTTTCTAAAATTTATGCCTTTATCATGCTCTTGAGTGATTGATATATGGATATGAATTTTCTGCTGCAGATTAATGACAATGTGGAAGTCTGTGCTGGCTTGCCATCAGAGGCAGTTTCAGGCTATAGCTGAAAGTAAAAGCCATAATCTCACAGCTAGAAGCAGGTACCAAAGAAATTCCATTGCAAAGGCTACCATGGAATTAGAAGTAGAGCTCTTAAACTGGTCATCTTGTTTCCAAAAGTGGATTAGCACCCAGAAAGCTTATATCGAAGCTCTCAATGGATGGTTAATGAAGTGGCTTCTTCAGGAACAGGAGGAAACCCCTGATGGAGTCCTGCCATTCTCCCCTGGTCGAATTGGAGCCCCCACTATTTTCATAGTCTCCAAAGATTGGCATCACACAGTTGATAATATATCCGAAGTTGGAGTGACGTCTGCGATGCAAATCTTTGCTGACAATGTGCACAAGTTGTGGGAGACGCAAGACGAGGAACAGCGACAGAAGTTGAAGGCTGAGTACTTGTCTCGAGATTTCTCCAGAAGGCTTAGATCCCATCAGAAAGAAAACGGGCATGTGGATATTGCTTCTAGTAACAGACCCATGCCTCTTTCAAATAATGCGTCCTCTCATGATGATCATATAAAGATGGCCTTGGACTCCATGAAGAAGAGATTGGAGGAAGAGAAAGTTAAGCATCTAGAAATTATGAAGCATGTTCAAGAAGTGGCTTCTAGTAGCTTACAGACGGGTTTGATTCCGATTTTTGAAGCCTTGGGGAATTATAGCACTGAGACATTGAGAGGCTATGAAGCACTTAGAATTCCAAGTGATAACTTTGAAGGAACATAAGGAGGTTGGGAAATATGTTGGCTTTCTCCTGGAATATAAACTCTTAACGAGGCTTTCGGCTATAGGAATGGTACAAAGTTTGAATAACGTCTGAAACTGCTAAGAGTCTTTACGAAAGCTCTCCTGGTTCCTAGTTGAGCAAGAGCATCTATTTCAGTGGAAACCCGGGATCGCTGTGAATGTGAAGAGTAAAGAAAACATTCATCCATATCTTGAGAGGTTAAGTCTAATGGGGATTTCCTGTCGATATTTTTCTGTCGGACTAATTAGTTCGTAAGCAGCAACAGGCAATGTGGTTAACTTTTCATAAGACAGTAAGCTTTAGATGCAAGCAGGATACCGTAGAAAGTGTTAGGCTTATTTATGTATGAAGGGAATTTTGGTTAGTCTTTAGGACAGTAAATATAATTGAATCTCTAATTAATCTTTGTTTGGCGTCAAGATTTTCTTAGTCTCAGTGATAATACCAATGGCTGTTTCGTGTAAAAATTTAGCTTAGCCAGTACTCTGCTGGTTCGTGATATCTATCATATTTACTGAATATTTTTCCATCAAAGGGAAGAGGGAAAAAAACTTGAAGTTTGTTCATGAATGTTCCAGCCCTGAGGATTACGACAAATGTGCCAAATTTTTTGCTCTGCAGGGGGAGTCTGCAGGTTCTTGACTGAGAAATTACTACTATCATATTTTCTGTGTACTTTGAATTGAAGCCTTTTGAATCGCAGGTTGGTAGAGAGATGAAGGTAGTCCTTATTTGGGTGATATTGCTACCGCATAGAGAAAGCCTAAAAATATTTAAAATATCCCTGAAACCTATGTTTGGATTCCGTAGGACATTAAGTTGGTTTTGAGTCTTTAAAGTTTAAACAACAATAGGGAATATAGATAACTCCCAAGTACGTAGCCATTTTCCTTTAAAAAAAAAAAGAGTATGTTGTATACTTGACCTTAACGCCAACTGACATTGTTTACAAATTACATCTGGGGCAATTAAAAACATGAAGCCAAGCCAATAACAACCTTGTCAGCATACACATTTTCTCTTACAGTGCACGTACATAATTCATCTCAAATTACTCGAAAATAAAAATAAGAGACAAAACCACATCTATTACTAACCCTTGCTATAAGAATGAACTTTTCGATCCATAAACAACTTCTTCACCATCTTAAGCATCGCTTGCAAGCTTAAACTTTTGCTCTTGTGATTTTTCTGCTTCACTGAGACCATTTTCTCTCCTCCTTTGAAACCTATGCAGCCTCTTGATCTTGATCTCTTGTGACTGACATCTTCTCTCTTATTGCAATAAAGACTCTCGTTCATTTGCTCCCACAGCTTGTCCATCCTCTCCTCCTCCTCCAGTGATTTTCTGCCGTTGGCATGGTCTTCATAGCTCAATGTTAATACGTTCATCATGAGATCTACTCAGCATCAAAACAAGTTTTTTTTAAATGGATAGATGATAAACGTGAGGATTTGGAAGAAGAAGGTGGTCTTTGAGCCTATATATAGGATGCTATTTCTTATATCTATTTTGTATGTGCATGTATGTATAAGCTCGTGAAATTTTTATAAATGGTAGATTAGATATGGACATAATATGGTCAATTTTGAGCGGGAATTGATGGGGATATGGATAATCTATATGTAGATTAGATATGGACATAATATGGTCAATTTTGAGCGGGAATTGATGGGGATATGGATAATCTATATTGAGAGTTAATTGAAGAAAGTGTATATTTAGTGATTCTGTGCATGGACTCGATTAGCAAAGGGATCTTATGGTTTTCGAGGCACTGATCCTGAAAAAATGTAGATCATTTTATAATTTTAAATAAAAATAAACAAATGATCTGTAATGTAAAAACATTTTATGCAGCAAGAAATGGAAATTGACAGTTATTGCAATTAATCAGACATCAAATTTGAATTTAGAAATATATTTCTTACAAACTTTTGCGAATCCAAGAATTTTTTTTTCTTGTTGTGGGGTGGTGGGGGGGGGGGGGTTAATTTATCATGGAACGTAAGTAAAAAAATAACGAACAAATATGTATAATAATGTTTTATACATGTAATTAAGTAGGTAAAAAGGACCGGAATAAAAGCTTTTTTAAATATTTATGTGTCTTGATATCAGTCTCTCTTATGATGAACCCTTCAATTAGAAATAAAAAGTCAAAATAAAGTCTATTCGCTAGAAAGAGCTCTTGCACGACATGTAACTTTTATTTGTAAGTTTTCTGTGAACTTGAATGAAGGTTTGCTTTAGCTAGAAATGTAGAGTTTTAAAATAAAATCTTGATTTCAACATAGAGTTGCAAATATTTATTAACCTAAACTCTTAGAAGTTAGAATGTAAAAGTTAGGGTCAAATTAACTTCATAAGGGAAAACTAGTATTTAATATCAAATTCCCTAACTAGATAACAAATCAATAGTAGTGGGCGTTGTTGGATGACCCTCCAGCGGTGGGGCCGCCACTGGTCATGTTGATGACCCCATTATGGCTGGGCTTTGGTGGTCGTCTAGGGATGAGGTGACTGCGAGTGGGATCTTCTATCTACCTTGGCTGGGGCAGCTTCTCTCCGGTCTCTCTTAGAGAAAATATTCTTAGGTATCCTCTCTGATCAGATCCTCGATGTCTCTCTTCAGGATACAACAATCGTTGGTGAGGTGGCCGTAATCTCTATAGTAGTGGCAATAGTACTACGTATCTCGGCTCCATGGATCCGACCTCATCTTAGGAGCGAGCTCCTTGAGGTGCCCTTCCTTTTGGACCAAGGCGAGAGCTTTTGCGAGGGAGGTGTTGAAGACAGTGAGAGCGGGCCTCGGCGCCGGGTCCCTCCACCGGTCTCTCCTGTCGGACCGATTTGAGCGGGAGTCGACTCTCGGGAGTCTCTCAGCCACTCCTGCCTCGCTGGATGGGCTCTTGCCGACTCTGGTGTCAGCACCATCACTGGTACTGCTGCAGGTGTCGGTGGTGTGTGTAGTTCTAGTGCTGCAGTTGATGCAGCTACTGCTACTGCTGAGGTCGTGGTCGTGGAGGTCTCTGTGGCCCTGGCTGTCGCCTTATAAGCTCGGACATCCTACATGTCCATATACCCATCAGCTTTGCCCATCAGTTGTTCATAATTGGTGACTAACTTCTTGGCAAGTGAGTCGACCAATTCGTTATTCTGAAAACCGGCTACAAGAACGAACATAGCAACTACACTCCTCGGGTAATTAACCTCCTGCCTCTTTGCCTGGAACCTCTTGAAGTAAGCATGAAGGCTCTCTCCGGGCTCTTGTCTCATCTGGATTAATACATGAGGGGACAACTTCTGTTTGGTGTCAGCCAAGAAGTGATGGATGAACTTCAGGCTGAGTTACTGGAAGCTGCTAATGGACTTCTTCTCGAGGGCGTTCCACTAGAGACTGGCGCTCCCTGACAGAGTGATGGGGAAGCATCGGTAAATAACTGCTTCTGATACTTAGAACATGCACATTACATCATAATAGTTCTGGACATTTGATAGGGTAAAAATGATAACCAAAAGTTGTAAGTGCACAACTATCAAGTCATAGTATAAAAAGTTATCGAACCCACGAAGAAGGTGTTTGTAGGAGGAAATTAAGATCGGTTCTTATGTTGTGTGTGTGACAAATTAGGAGTGTTGAAAGTTTGTGATTATGGAGAGATATGAGGAGTGATTGTGAATATATGCAAACAAAAATAAAATGAGGAGAGAAAGAAATCAAGAAAATAAAGAGGAAAGAAATAATGAAAAATCAAGAACAAAGAGAAAATTCAAGAAAGTAAAGATGGAGAATTCAATTAAAGATATGAGGAATCTAGAATTGAATCCACTAGCTAATTTTCATTATAAATTATAAACCATTCTCTTTGTATCATAGTTTACCACAAATTTATTAAGTATAGACTATCAAACCACTTAAAGAAAGCATAACCTATCAAATTATCATCTAAGCAAAATTAACATTCATGAAAAGAACAACAACTAGATAGTAATTATATAACCTATCAAATTATCATCTAAGCAAAATTAACATTCATGAAAAGAACAACAACTAGATAGTAATTATAAAATTCATAAGCATAACCTATCAAACCACTCAAAATAAGCATAGATTATCTAATTTTTCTTCTACTAATTAGTTCTCTAGTTGATTATCCTATACATAATCATTTTAAGCACAAGAGAATAATTCACAAACTATAAAAGAAATTAGGTTAGTTTCATACAATTCTAGAATTCCTACAAAAATTAGTTCAACATCTTAGGAAATGAAAATAAGAAATAAAATCTATACTAGAAAAGAATAAAAGAAAAGAGTGAAGATACAAAGCAATTACCAGAAGAGAAATGAGAACAAAGAAATTTACATAGAAATAAATCTAACTAAGTTGTAAAAGAAAAGAACATAAATGAAAATCTAGATTATGTGAGAAAATAAATCTATTCTACAAATTAAAAGTGCAAGCTAATAATGAAAATAAAGATAGAAGTGTAAATCTACTCTACAAGGCATTAATGTAAATCTAAACTACTAAAGCAAAAAGAAAAGAAATTACTACAAAAAATAATAAAATAAAAGAGAAAATTTACATTACAAGAGGGTTTTAGCCTCTTGAAAGCAAACCTTCAACTCGATCTTCATTTTTTTCATCTTCATCTTCATTATCAAACACAGAGAAGAAAAGAGAAATATAAAAAGGTGAAAAAAAATCTTTTATTAATTGTAATAAAAAGTTACAAATTTGTAAGGTCTTCTCAATTAAGAGTAATCCTTCTCTCCAAAAAGAGTTCTACAAAATTTTTCACACCCCCAACCTCTCACTCTCTACCCCTATTTATAACATACAACAATGAATGAGAGCCCTTGGATTAAACTTGATCCCCCAAGTTAATCAATTGCAACCTTTAATTTCACAACAGGAAATATGTATCGATACCGGTATCGATATGAGTATCAATAGCAGTATCGATACCGCTATCGATACAGGTATCGATAGCCAGTCTTTTCATTCTTTGGCTGATCTTCCCTTGGGCTTTGACTCTTGGGCTTTTTAAGAGATGAGATATTGAGTTTTTCTTGGGCTTTTATTTGTTAACCCGCAATTAAGATAAAACACATTTATTAGTGACAAATTTATTTAAAGTAAATAGATAATGAGGGTATACAATATAATAAAAATATGATTATCAAATACCCCCATACCTAAATTTTTGCTAGTCCTCTAGTAAAGAAAGAAATTAAAAACCCTAACTCACTCTTGCAGGAATCGCGGTTGTATTTAGTGCATACAACAAGCCTTTAAACCTCTAGGTTACCCTAGAGGATGAGTTGTAGTCTCATGAGGATTTGTAGTGAATATACCCTCAAAATTCGATTAATTTTGCCAATTCAAAGAAGTTAGTGAATAATTAATT